ATTGCCGTCTAGTTTGGTTTATGTGGTTCTGACTGTTTGTTAGCTGCTGATGAGCCCATCGTCTACTGTGTCATCAGTAAATCGGACGTGTCGCGGGCGCAGAAGACGCTCTATTCCAATTTGCATCAGCACTATGCCTGGTGGAACTGATGCCAGAATGGAGGCTTGCTTCATTGAGCTGATGTGGCAGCGCAGCTCTACTATGGCGGTGGTGATTCCTCACGAACTGGCACAATCCAGTGGAGAGAGGAAACCCCGCTAGATTATCATTGATATAACACATAGACTCAACGATAATGCGAATCCGATCTATCATTCATCAATTGAGTCGGGTCGGATTCAACTTCTCATGCCTATTCATCATAGTGCACCATAGCTAGGTACTGGCAACCGCAGATATTGCCGTCCTACATTCATTTGTCTTTAGATAAACTACTAGCAATTCATTCCTTCGATATTAGAAATTATGGACATATACATGTCCAACTAGTATACATGGTTATTCCAGTTTCTCCTCCTTCACCCACAGCACAGTAGGCAGCATGGATAGTGCACATGCGGCAGAGATTACTGCATACAGAAATTAGCTTTGTATACCTTCTGCAAGGGCATCTTACTCACATGGCACCAATCGGAATGCGTTCAAATAGCTCCACCGAACAATATACTGAACAGCAGATGGCAAGCTCTGAACAAATCTATCATCGTTGAGAATCTGGCCGATGAACTGATCACTATGATTAGCATAGAACTCATACAAGTCACATATGGTGTATGAACAAACCTTTTTCTCCTCCCACCCATTCAGATTATTCTCCAACTTCCCGATAAACACGCGTTGCACAACGGCCACATTCGCCGCCGGTCCAATGATACTACCTAACTGCTGGGTAAGGTAATATGTAGTGATGCAAGTGGTGAGGTTCTCGTTCGGCACGCCCAGCGACATGCCAAGGAACTGTGTCGTGAAAAGGATGCCAACAGCCATACCATTTGGCAACAAATACACTACTTCCCAAAGGTCGCAGCCACTTCGCCAGCGAATGAAAATGAGCAAGTAGGTCATGACGGTACCACAAACAGCGATTACAGTCATGGTTCGGTATCGTTTCGATCTGTGAATAGTCAGATAACCTCACGTATCCACCTAATATTGTTTTACGGGGCAGTGTCGCTACCTTTTAATAACCTTTCCTGCGATCAATGCTCCAATCAACACCCCAACCGCAGCCAGCACGAAGGCTGACGCAACCAATGAGCTTGTTGCACCCTTAACCCGAATCAGGTATGGCGCCAAGTTACTCATAAGCTACAATGAAAGTCAGGAATCACATAGAATCATGCATCCAAGGGAAATGGAACCTACTCCCGAACGGCTCGACATCAACATTATCTGGTTTAGGCAAAAACCACCCAGCGAGGTCTTCATGAGGTGCAGAGGAATCAGTGGAGTTCGAGCCCAGTATGCTTCTATCACGATGAACAACATTGCTGCAGTGCAAAATGCTGGGACGAGTATCGAGAGCGGAATTTGGAAGCTATCTGGCGGGGCGCCCAGCTCCTGCATCAAGAAGAGTAGAAGAATAGTAGTGATAGACAAGCTCACAAGACCAGCAAAGTCAAGTCCCATGATGCTGCGCCGAGCATTCCCTTCATCTGCATCTCCAGTCTTGGTTGAGTTTAATAATGACGGAAGCCCATACAGCCCAATTAGTAGACAGATGGCCGCCACGGGCAATTGACCGATGAATGACCATCTCCATCCCATATAACTGATAAGATAGCTTCCCAACGGAGCACCTACACTGCGACCTACAACATAAAACACATTGGCGTAGCTTCGGAGCAAGGCTACCTCGTCGGTAGGGACCATGTCTATAGGATTAAAAGTGTCAGTGTGGCAAGAGAAGGTGGTCGAGATACTCACCAGTAAGGATGACCGATACCAGCGAAACCATTCCTCCTGCACTTACTCCAGTGAGCACTCGCGCCAACACCAGCTGACCGATGGACGTGCTGGTCCCGCTACATCAGAACCGGTCGTTAGAAACTATTCGCATAGACAAAACGGTACGTGAGATGACCTACCAAGCCAGACACCCCGCTGCAAAAAGTGCATAAGCACCTATAAGAACATTCTTTCGGCCGTATAGATTGCATAGCGTACCATACTTGTCCGCGGAAATGTCAGTTTCACACCCTTCTTAGAGCGAGTCGTCGAACTAACCACCGGCAATGACACGCACCACCCAAAGTTATACGCGGCTAACAGCCACGATCCCTGCGACAGAGAGTGAAATTCCGAGGCGATCACACTCCATGTGGACAAAACGATGGCTTCGTCTGCAGATGCGAGGAAAACACCTGAGTAGTAACATCAGTAAGAGAGCTGTGTCTGGATAGATTGCAGATCTCTACTCACCTAGAAATGAACCGTACACGGCGAGTTTGTCGCGTACACGACCAACCTTGATATTCTGCTTGTCCTTGGGGCGGGCATGCAGCAAGGGGGTTTCTTCGCTGACGGCCATTGCCAGATTTGTGCCAACACAGCGCACGAATGACCGCCGAGGAAGATATCGCACAAAAAAGGAAAGAGAAAAAAAAATAGTATATATTAATTAAAATTAGCTCGGGACGAACAGCAGGGCAGATGGTTTTAAATATCGAGCATGTGGGTGTCAAGGGCTGAAGCCTGAAGGGGGAAGCTGAAAGATCACCGCCCCTCATGCCCAAAAGCGATCTCCAGGGTTGGATGTCTCAACTCCCAAAGTTCAAGAATTGTCATCCTGTCTAGCCATGACGTTAATCCACTCTTGTCGTTCTTTCGTTCTTTCGTTCTTTCCCTCCATGTCCAGGTTGGCCTCGGACCTACATAAAATACAATTGGGTGGTTCCCGGCGTTGAAGGGAGTCATCATGATGACTGTGAGAGGCGCTATAGTGTAGGTATCAGTGGGGGTGTTTTGTGGATACTTTTTAATCCCTGTGGTTTGTTTAGTTAAATATCCTTCATACAAGCATCCAATGGTAATTGATTGCAACAGCGTGACAAACTAAATTGTATGAACTATTGACGACGATCATTTTTTTGCCTTTTCGAAGGTGTTATAAATATACTCTGTACATTTAGTATAAATATTATTGAGGCTTGTACGATCAATCCATTGTTGAACACATACAGGGCCTTCACACTTATAAAACCTGGTGGCATTCAACTTCGAACTAATGATTATTTTGAGTGGGTGATAGCACACCATCCCTTTCTAAATGATGCCAGTCCAGTGCCGCGCTCTGTGATAGCATCACTCAGAGCTGTGCTGTCAAGACCCAAGTCTTGGTACACGAGGCCACAGTGAACCCGCTTCAGTCCGAAAGGACTTGGTCTTTCTCTACTCTCCTTGGCTCTTCGAAATCTGATCGATCAAGGATTATGCCGTTAAACATCTTGCCCATATGTGTTTTGTCAATAACTTCGCCTTTCCGTCGAATTTGCGACATAAGGAAATTTAAGAACTTTATCGGGCTTTGTCGGAACGTTGATTCTAAGCGTTCTGCCCTGTTGTTCTTATCCTGGCGCAGAATGAAACCGTCTGTGGCGACAAGGCTGTCCTCGCCCATTGGCTGCCATGCCACACCCAGGAAATCGCAGACTTCCACATATTCCTCATACGAACTCAGGTACAACTGTCCGGCAAATAGATTCAGCTCTATAATGAAACCCCGAGGTATACATAGAGCATTGGTAACCTCGCCGGAGACATTGTAGAGGTCTAACTTGTCCAATGGTTTAAGTCCTAAACTGGACCGGGGCGCGTAGAGATGCAATGTCACATGTTTAGACTCCTTGATAGAGGGATATAATCCCTGCGCTTCGTAAGGGCTGATGATGACCATTTGGTTGACAGTCGATTTCTGGTCGGTGGAGTTAATCTTTCAAGACACATACCCAGGAATAACTGATCATTCCCATGTCTGCTAGAAGTCTTAAGCATGTCATTCGGATCCCTTCATTTGAGCTTAGAGTCAGCACTCTTGCTGTCAAGCATATTAGCGAATACAGAGCCTGAGCACATTCCCAGTTTTCATCGAGACTCTGCATAGCGTCCTCAATCTTTTCTGTAAATGCCCTGGTGAACGTATCGTCACTAATGATTTCATGGCTCTCCCGATAAGTGCCACTAGTCCCGCGAGGCCCAGATTGGTATATAGTCTGCAGTATGAAGAGTGTAGTCTCGACTTTCTTCAGGTCAATGACCGGGAATGAGAGCTGTACAAGAGTATTCTGCCACTGGATTCGAAATTCCAAAGGCAAGTGAGTCAAAGCTATGTATTCCTCAAAGAACATGTGCTTAGGGCAGTCAAATTGGCTAGCTATGACTTTATTTGGTGGCGGACCGTTAGGCATAACGGCTAATCTCCGGAGATAACACTGTAAATCAGAAGACCTTCGTGGCAATGTGTATATGCAAGACAGCGACACTTCATCTGATGCGATCTCGATGGAATCGACAAAAAGGTTCGCTATCCTATCGAGATAACTGTAGATAATCGGGTTTTCCAAGCAAACATCTTCTTCAGTGACGTCAATGACTGGCGCATGAGTGCTTCCATATACATTGGTGTTTGACGAAAGGCATAGGCGGTATGTGATGTCGTAGGGCTTAAAGTAACACTGTAGACTAGGATAGCTCGACAGTGAGAGCTTTGGGCGCGACTTGCTGATATTTCCAACCCAAAAACATCAAGCAGCAAATATAGCGCCGTGTCCCCTCCAGAAGCCATACCACTGAGGGGCTTTTAGTTCAAAGACAGCAGATTGCGCCTCCAGCGGCATTTTGGTAAGCGGCCATACGTGGGCTGATATTCGAAGCTGCTGTGCCTTCTCGCGGTAAGAACATTTCTGGCATTTCGGATCGTGCCGCTTTGTAGTCTTATCTTTGGTATCTTGGTACACCAACATGTCGCAACTCATCTCGTTGGAGCTATGTATAAGTGCATTGTATTCTCCTCGCACGCGTCGGAGTTCAGCGCGCTTGGCTTCTCTCGCTTCTCTTGCCTGAGCTTCAATTGATTTAAGCAGCTCCTGATGCGGCAGAGACCGGCTAAAATACTTCGCTGAGAAGCTATTCGGATGGCCGAAGCTCTGAAATGTCAACAAAGCAGGCCATGAGCTAGCTTCCACGCGGGAACGGACATAATTCTCAGCATCTTTGAGTCTCAGCATTTGTGAATGTGAAGGTAGCAACAAGCATTGAAAGCCGTCTTCTGGTATCCCGACATCATACTCAAGAATGGTTTTATCGATACAGGTCGCGCTCTTGTCGCAGGCAATCCAAAGCTCCACAACAGTCAATATCATATTAGATGTAGCAATCGGGTTCCCGAGATAAAGGGACGCAGCAACTTTGTGGTATGTCCGGATTAAGTTACTCAGTTCTCCACAGGTATCCCATTCGCTCTGATGTATTTTGATCCATGTATCGAGATTTCTCGCTACCCACGTCTCGAATGCCTGGAGAGTAAACAACATGTTTTCGGGTTTTTTTAAGGAAGAAGGGTTCGGGAGAAACTGGCATGGAAAGATGAAGATACCTGGCTGGCGTTCAGGCCAAGCAACTTTCCTGATTCTTTGTTCCGGCTCCAGCAGTCTCATTATATAGGCATCCAAAGCTGGCAGTCTATAGAGAGAGAGTCATCACCAAGTTTGATATGCTTAAGTCTCCCTAGCTGGTAGCCTCGCTCACTCTGCTCTTGGTACCTTTTCTATTTCCTTGTTAGGATCTTCCTGGTAGATTGAATGATATCTGTAATGGGGGTCATATTTATATTATGACAATGACCGAGTTTGAGTAGATGTCGGGTGATCTTGGCCTGTATGATATGTAATAATTCGTACTTAACACCATTACTATGAGATACCTCGAGAATGAGAGTCAAAAGGTAGGTTATGAATATTTTGTATCCGTTTTCTGTTTCTTGGCTTTTCACCCGATGCCAGAAGAAAATATATTGTATTTCTACTCGAAGAAGTAGCTATAGGGAAGACCTGTGCCATGGCAGCTGGCTACCAAAGTATATAACCTCACTACGGGTGTTCTTCCAGACATGTTGTGGCTCTCCCTATTTATAGAGTGGCTTTAGGAAGTTGAAGAAAAGCTCTGTGACTATTTTAGGGTGTGCGGTTTTACGTTTGTTATTATACCAGTGGTCTGCCCTTTTTATCTTTGATCTGGTGCCTGGAGCACTTTGATGGCTTATATTAGCCAGTGTTTCAGCTACCACAGCTTGGAGATTGGGATTCTTGAAGTGCTTGAATTTTATCTTAAGTGAGGGTCCTGGAAATGACTGTTGTAATCGGCCCTGGGTGGCCATTATATCCTTGTTCGGAGATAGTAACTCGAAAGCTTCAAACTAAATGGAACTTTCGCTCTTCGCTATTATTAATCCACAGGTTTGCGCTTGTATATGAAGTAATAAAGCTCCATCTGTCAGCTAATTAGTGGACTATGCAACTTTAAGGAGCATCCCGAATCTGTAGGTTGTTTGGAGGGCTATACCATCGGTACATAATCTTTTCAAAGAAGCTAATAATCGTTCTTGATTCGTGAATCCATCAGTACCGAGCATATTCTGTAGGTTTCGGACCATAACAATGACTAAGTCGGTAGTGGAATGCCACTCCGTTGCGACATGGCATTTGAACTCTTTCATAGCACCAATGGCGACATTTATCAAAACTCTTTCATGGCTAGGGTCATAGTCGTCTTTTTGTGGGACCTTTGGGGGAAGGAACACGTGGTGGATCAAGTCTTCTAACGCCCCAGCTGGTAGCTTTTCATTTGCATTCTGAGTCGACATCACGAACTATGGGTATTTGGGCCAGAGAAGACTCATGGAAGACCACAGATTACAATGTGGTAAAAGAAATGCTTGGCGAGAATGAGAAAGGAAAGAAAGATAAGGGAGATTGTCAGGAGCAACAAACAAAGAAAACGCGGGCGAAGGTGAACAGGGGAGGGCTAAGATTTGGGGCACCGTTTGATTCACCACCACTAAAAATACAGTCTCATAGGAAGCAAATTTGAAGGGCCGGCAGCAGCACATCCAACGCATCAGAGTTACACGGCTATCATGGTACGCGTGAAGTCGTTTCTGTTTGCTGTGGGATCTATCGTGGACACAGGAAGAAAGGTGACAGGTCCAACTTGGAACCTCAATTACTGTGTACTGCTGTTGGCGATTGGCTAAACTGGGCTTTTCTTATTGTCCAGTACTATAGAACTTTTATAGATACTTCAATTCCTACCCCAATTTATGTGATCTATATTATTAAATAAAACGCGTGTTCTTCGAAGATATTTTAGCATCATTGGTGCCCTCCTATAATACTCATTCACTATTCTGACAGACCCCATAATAAATTCTTATACTAGGCGTGAAGAGTTAAACCTTAGCTGTGATAGTACCTGGGAAATATGCCCAAGCTCTAAGGTTTGCCAGTTCGTGACTAGAGAAGCTGTACAATCACAGGTGTTCTAAACTTGGCTTATACATATACAGTGGGCTATAGATAGGAAAAGTAAATGTTTCTACTGATACGCTGTAGTAAGCAGATCTACTAGTAGCCTTGTACAGATACATGGAGTCCGAAAGAGTAGGACCTATCAGAATAGTGAATACGTATTATAGGCGGCGATAATGGGCCAATGGCACTAAACATTCACCAAGAACACATGTTTCATTCAATAGTATGTATAATATATATTGCGATTGAATTTGCGGTTTTAAGGATCTAAAATGGTATGACTGGGCAATTTGGAGAGAGAGCCCTGCCCAGCCAGTCACCTCCAGCATTACGCAGTGAATACTGTAGTACTACTACTAGTATAGTACCAGTATTCAGTTCCCCAGTGACGGCTCATGGTAAAACGGATAACCACGTCAGGACCTAAATACTTTTTAGTTCCTGTTGGCCAGATTGTTCGGTTCGAAGCACGACCAAATGCCCAAGGTATTTTGGTCGAGTGGCAGCACACTTGACAGTTCCTAATCTGATTGCTTCAATGCCGTACCTGTCAGCAAAAAAACTTATTAGTTTTTGCCCAGAGTCCAAAATGAAAGGAATAACATATGATTCCGATCAGAAAATCGATAAGCAATCCGAGTTAATGGACGAACTATCTCCTCTCATTCGTTTGCCATTAATGGGAGAGAAACTTTCACAGCTGATTATGGCAGCAGAGCTATATAAAATGCTCCCTCCACGCTCCATATCATCTATGTCCCCATCTCGATCCTCTGAGCGACTCCACCTACGGTGACCTACCGTAAACAAACACTGTTTGGTGCAGGGATCTACATTGATGTGAACGTGCTTGAAGAAGTACAAAACCAAATGAACATCGCTGTTCAACCCTCAGTGGATACTTTGACCCTTGAATTTTTAGCGGCCAAAGCTGTAATGTGAGTCTTTAGAGCTCATCGTATCTCATGCTGGAGAAGGCGAGTGGACAAGTTTTCTTGCACGATATTGTGAATGGCTCGAAGTCCACTAATGTATACTTACCAATGAATCCTATGCTCAGGAGCTGACATCATACCAGCCCCGGGTGCTGCAAGCACTGCTTACCGACTTCTTACTTTTTTCGCGACAAATGAAGGACCCATTTGTGAGCTCTGGGCACATTTCTGGAATGGAGTTGACGGAAATCACTACATGACCAACATTGACGTGTGGCGGACGACACAAATGTAAAGCATTTGATTTTTTGTCTCGAAAGTCTCTAGTATTTGCAACCGGGGCTTCGGAGATTTTCAAGCTACAGTGGTTGAAAAGTTGATTAGCCAGAATGCCCCTTCAGTTTTGTAACCGTGCTTACCTTGATGGGCTTCAATTTATATACGGAGCTGACCCAGGCAGACGAACAAACTAATCCGGGAGAGGATATGGAAGACGCTAGTTAAGCGGCCACGAAACATTGCCAGGGAGGGTCACTTGGCACACAGTGACACATAATAGATAAGGAAAAACAAACTACGGAGGAGGCAGAGGATGACCACAGACATAGGAGGGTGTAGGAAGGGGAAGAATCGCCGTGGCATGCATGCGTTTTTGTTGCCCTGGCTTCGGGTGCAACGGTGATAGCAACAACTAGCAACGACGCTAAAGCGTCCAAGTTAAAATCAGTAGGTACACATCACGTCATTAACTACAAATCCACACCCGACTGGGGAACAACTACAAAAAGTTTGACCCTCGGTGGCCGAGGTGCGGACTTGATTGTTGATGTGGGCGGGGCATCTTTCCTTCATCAGTCACTGAAGACCATCCGGCTGGGGGGAATTATCCACTCGCAGGGCTTTTAGGCGGAGCTTCCAGTCCCGATATGCCCAGTTCGATGGATGGTCTGAGTTATCTATGTACCTCACGTGGATTGCTTCTGGGGACCAGAGTTCAGCTTCACGCCATGAATTCAGTCATTGACGAGAATGACATTAGGCCCATACTTGATGAAAAGGTGTTTAGTCTATTCAAGGTGAGAGAGGCATATGAGTATCTCGAGCAACAGAAACATTTTTCAAAAGTTGTTGTGAGAGTGTGTTAAGAACACAGGAACAGTTGAGGCCAACGGTAGGAGAGGTAGGTAGTTTGGGCATGATGGTTAAGTAGAAATAGAGCAATAAATTTAGTATTTTCAATTGGCCGTCTTGTGTTGTTAGCGTGATAGCGCCAACAAGGAATTACACATATCAGTAGATGTGTATGCTGCGGTGGATATCAGTGGCAATCTGTGATAGAACAAAACGGATAAAGAAAAGGTTAAGCTTCTCGAGACATAAAACGCCTTTAACCCAGAAGAGCTAAGGCATGCTGCCTGAATCTGCCGGCAGCCAAGAAGGGCCCTCGGGAAGCACGCGCCCCTTTCCCTTTTCGGCGGGTGACCAAGTTGGCAGCCGCACACAATGACATCCATGCCAAACTGTACCTCAAGTCATTTTTCCTTCTCCTGTTTCATCTACACAAAGTGACGTAGTCCGCCGACTGAGAGGTTTCTGAGTGTGTCTAGAAAGGATTCAACTCCTCCCTCATCCGTGGTCCGTCCGGTGAGCCCAATCGATCCATCGACAAATTTTTCGTTTACCCGACTAACTGGGTCTCTTCCACTAGTCTAAACCCCCCCCCCCCAAACCACCGATTGCTACTCCAACGCACTAGTCATGGTTCGATAAACGGCCCTCTCTGTGATATGACTCTCCGCCGCCATTGAATTTTAACCCAACTACATCGATTTAACCCCCCTTTGAACACCGTCATTCGATTTGCTTTCTGAGTCTACTGACTCTGAAGGCAGCTCGGCTGGTCGAAGATGGAAGAACAGGTATGGACTCCAATGCTGCACTGTTGTTCATTCAAATTATTTTTTTCTTTTTTTTTTTCTTACACTTTTTTATTTAAAAAGGGACACGAAAAAAAAAGTGTCCACCCCACCATTTACCCTCCCCTCCTCTCCCCTCATGCCCCTCCCTGCGCATGTTTGCATAAACAATTAATCTAAAAAGGCCTTTCATGATAAACTGAACCTAACATATTTGTAATCACATAGGTAGCGAATGCCATAGAAATCGCCTGGAACCCTTCCTCAGACCAAGCCCTCAAGGCGCAAGCCTTCGATTACCTGAACCAACTCCGTACCGATCCTTCGGGATGGCAAGTCTGCCTCGCCCTATTCACAAAGACTCCCCAGCACTCTGAGATCATACGACATGTAGCACTAGAGGTGGTAAACAGTGCCGCCCAGGCTGGGCTGATTGACCCTCAGGCTCTAGGATATGTCCGGGACGGCCTCATGAGCTATCTCCGTCAGGTCTATGGACAGGAGAATGCAAACCCAGATCCTCCCAATATTCAGAACAAAATCGCCCAGACGATCACCTTCCTCTTCTCAGCGCTCTACGGTAGCGGCTGGGAGTCCTTCTTCGATGATCTCTTGAGCCTAACATACAAGGGTGCCTCGAGCACGTCACCTGACAATATGCTGGGCATTGTATTTTACCTTCGAGTCGTCAATTCTATCCACGATGAAATCGGTGATGTTCTCGTGTCCAGATCTCGTACGGAACAGGATAGGGCAAATTCACTGAAGGACCTGATCCGAATGAGAGACATGCAAAAGATCGCAAGCTCATGGCAACAGATTTTGTCGGAATGGCGGGACGGCAACGATCTGATCGTAGAGATGTGTTTGAAGGCAGTTGGTTCCTGGGTTAACTGGATTGATATTAGCCTAGTGGTCAACCAGACAATGCTCGATCTCTTATTCCAGCAACTGGCCCGGGCACAGAAGGCGGAGCTCAGGGCGGGAGAGGAGAAGGTGCGGGATGCAGCCGTCGACGTTTTCACGGAAATCATCGGCAAAAAGATGAAGCCGGAGGATAAGATTGATATGATTATTTTCTTGAACCTGGACACCATCGTTTCTCAGCTCTCCAACAGCCCCCCTCTTTGTGAGAATAGGTTTACCTTCAAATACGATACGGATCTGGCCGAAACAGTTGCGAAGCTAGTCAATAGTACAGTGGTTGATGTTGTGCGGGCTTTGGAGCAGGAGAACATCTCTGCAGAATGCAGGGAGAAGGCCAATGGGCTATTGCAGGCCTTCCTTCCGCACATCCTCAGATACTTTTCCGATGAATACGACGAGGTCTGCTCGACCGTCATCCCCTGTGGTAGCGACCTTCTTCAATACTTGAGAAAGCTCTCCAAGACCGACCCTTCTCTTACCGCGCAGCATTCTCCAATCTTACTCCCTATCTTGAAGGCCATCATTGCCAAGATGCGATATGACGAGACCTCCTCATGGGGCGACGAGGATGACCAGACTGACGAGGCAGAGTTTCAGGAGCTCCGCAAGAGACTAGCCATTATGCAACAAACTGTCGCCACAGTGAACGAACAGCTCTACATAGACGCCGTCTCCGAGGTTGTCGCAACAACCTTTGAGAACCTACGGCAGTCGGGTGCGCAGTTAGACTGGCGTGATCTGGACCTTGCATTACATGAAATGTTCCTCTTTGGAGACATTGCTGTGAAGGCAGGCAGTCTCTACACCAAAAACCAACCCAACAATCAGGCAGCAGAGCGACTTATTGAGATGGTGGCAAGAATGGTAGAGTCCGGTAGGTATCACGTATCAAGGACCATGCGCGCCTCCTCTGACGATCTACAGACATTCGCTCCTTCACACATCCGGCGACCCAGTTACAGTACATGGAAATCTGTGTTCGTTACAGTTCATTCTTCCTGTACCACACTCATCTCATCCCCGGGGTCTTGGAAAGCTTCCTCCAACTTGTTCACCACCCCACGAAGAAGGTTAAAACCAGGTCCTGGTATCTTTTCCAGCGGTTAGTCAAGCAATTGAGAAGCCAGATCGGCAATGTTGCGGAAACAGTCGTCCAGGCCCTAGGCGATCTTTTGGTGATCCAGGCGGAAATTCCTACGGAAGGCGCTGACGGTGATGAAATGTCGTCGGAGGATCATGAAGGGTCCGCAGATGCCGTGTTCAACAGCCAGCTTTACCTATTCGAAGCCGTTGGCATTATCTGCTCCACCCCGACTATCCCTGCCGACAAGCAGGTCCTGTATGCGCAGTCGGTACTAAACCCTGTGTTCATGGACATGGAGAAAAACCTGGCACCGGCGAAGTCCAACGACGAGAAGGCTTTGTTACAAATACATCATGATATCATGGCCCTTGGGACACTGGCAAAGGGCTTCTCGGATTGGATGCCAGGAACAAGCTCACCAACCTCTCTGCCCGCGGCTGAGGTTTCTGAGGCATTCTTGCAAGTGTCCGAGGCTACTCTTGTCGCTCTTGAATCCCTTAAAACCTCTTTCAACATTAGGACAGCCGCCCGATTTGCCTTTTCCAGACTCATTGGTGTGCTTGGCTCTCGAATTCTCCCACAGCTCCCGAGATGGATCGATGGCCTACTAACCCAGACTTCTACTCGGGATGAAATGGCTCTTTTCTTGCGTCTGTTGGACCAAGTGATCTTCGGGTTCAAGGGCGAAATATATGCCATACTCGATGCACTATTGACGCCTTTCCTACAACGGGTGTTCGCCGGGATTGCCGATCCCACTACCGGTACCGACGACGAGATCCAACTTGCGGAGTTGAAACGGGAATACCTGAATTTCTTATTGGCGGTTTTGAACAATGACTTGGGTGCTGTGATCATCAGCGAAAGTGAGTTTTGGCCCTTCAGCCTGGAATTACAAACGATGCAGGGACTAACATAAGCAGGGAATCAACCCATGTTCGATACGGTCATCACAACCATCGAACACTTCGCCAAGGATGTCGAGGACTTTACCACTGCGAAGATGGCATTCTCAGTACTCTCCAAAATGGGCAGTTCCTGGGGCGGACCTGATATCGCACCGGAGGCGACAAATGGCACCGCCCAGCAGGCTGCTCTCCCCGGATTCGCACAGTTCATGATCAGCCGAATGTCGCCCTTGTGTTGGGCACTTCCCACCACCCCGTCCTTCAATCCCAAAGACGCACAGGCCAAGCAGGTTCTCGCCGAAGCTGGAGGATTGCAGCGCACCATCTATTGCAAGACCGGCATGGAGTATATCCAGTACCTTCGAGACCAAGAATTGCCCGGCATGGGAATGGGTGCCGAGCTCATAGAGGAGTTCTTGAACGCATTAGGCCGGCTAGACTTGAAGGGATTCCGGCAGTTCTTCCCGGTATGTGTTTCCAGGTAGCGGTTGACCTAAAACCTCCAGCTAACAACCACCACAGTCCTTTATCCAGCGATTGAGCGCATGATCCTTTTGCATTTCATATTCTTTCTTTTCCCTTATGCTCCTCGATCATTCTCACTGTTTTTCTTCCTCTTAGATTCCCCCACGGTTTGGTTTGATGACTGATGTTCTCATGTGATCCTTTGCACTGATAGCTCTGTCGCCGGCAATTCCTCTGTCATTTTCCCAGAAAAAAACAGAAAACTCAAGAAAAAGAAAAAAGAAAGGTATATAGTTCGCGATGCATATTTGCATAAAACAGGCGTTGATTACTGCCTTTATCACCAACAGAGTGAAGAAGAGAAAAACAAAAAGGACTTCCCAATATCCCATATAAAATAAATCATTAACAAAAAGGAAAGAAAGGGGAGTAATGGTCGAGGCAGCGGACAGGGATGGGGCCGGGGGTGTTGGTTGGTTGATTGATACCTATCGTCGGAGCTCAACAGATACCTTATGCAAGTCGGGAGGTTTGACTACTGTCTTGGCTTTCTACTTTCTATATGGAGGATGCATTTATGTGTAGACTTCAAGTTATTCATGAGAGATGATGCGGATGTTTCTAAGATAAGATACTTAGCAAATAGAAATGAAGGACACTGAGAATATATTATCATACTATTCATTCTTTTGGTTTATTTTATATATAACCGAACTATATAGGGTACTAACTGAATCCAGGGAAAAAAAAAAAAAAAAGGAAACCAATGCAAACCATCCAAGATTGCAGAGTCATTAAAGGCAATATTTTCATGAAGAGATCCATAAGACGCTTTTTCTATAAAGGAAGAGGAAAGAGAGACATCACCGCGCCTCACCCTCCTGTTTCAGAACCTGTAATTCCATCTTCTCGAAACCGTCAACGGCAGCCCCGTACCTCTCGAATACGCCCTTCTGATATCCATCTGCAATCTTCTCGATGAAATCTTCTTCCCTCCACCTCTGTCCAATGAGATCCTCAAACGTCTGTCCATTCTTCCTCTCCAAAGCCCAGACAGCCTTGTAGGCCGCTCCCAGCGCACAGGCATTATCGCCAATCTCTAGCTTATATACACCGTCACTTCCACCGAGGATCTCACCCGCTACCTTGGCAATCGCCTTATTCTTCGACCCACCACCGACAAGATACACCCGTCGTGGCTGAGCTGGCATACCCTGTCCAGGACTAGTGGTAAGACCGCGAGAGCGCAAGCGAAGGGAAAGGAACTGGCTCTCGACGATAGCACGAGCCTCATCGACAGGCTTGTTCCACCCACCATTCGTCTCATGCAGATTACCATCAGCAGGATTATAATCAAACCGCCACTGTCCAGCTCGCAGATTCGGGACGATCTCCGGCCGAGGGAAAAAGAGGCCCATCTTCATTGGATCAGAATCCTTCTTCTGGCCCATGGGCGCCGTTTCCAGTGTGGTCTTGTCGAAGTTAGCCCATGGGTCTTTGTCCCCGGCCATTCCTAGTTTATCGTTGATGGCATCGCGGATCTGTTCGCGGGCCAGGCCGCCGTTCTTGTAGCAGAGCATGAACATGTACAGGCCCGCTGTGGTAGGGTGGTTAAAGAAATGTGTGGCTGGGTCGGGCATGTAGTTGGGAGTGGACATGAGGAAGGTGGTGGAGGTGCCCAGGGAGACCATTGCGTCGGAGGGACGCAGTGGCAGAGCCAGGATGGTTGCTGGGTTGTCACCTGTTGCGGGGATGATTGTGCAGTCTGGGCTGAAGCCGTAGCGTTCTATGTAGTAGCGGTCGATTTGGCCTAGGTTGATGCCGCCGTCTTCGGGGACGGCACCGAGCTTGCGCTTGAGGTCTTCCACGCCGGAGGGCCCGGCACAGAGTTGCAGGAGCTTCTCGTCGTAGGCGCCTTGCTTGATGTTCCAAAGGTTCATGCCGCAGACGTCGGAGATGTCAAAAGGGGCGATGTGGCCCAGGAAAAGGGATGCGAGGAAGGAGGAGACGAGCGAGATTCGAGAGGTCTTTTTGTATACTTCTGGGTGTTTTCTCTGGAAGCGGAGGATCTGGGGGCCAGTAAATCTCTATCGAAGGGAAGGCCATCAGTATAGCTCTAGTCACTGGAATCTTCGGAAAGTAAAGAAAGGGAAAGAAGTAGAGGGCAGGCATCAACGTACATGGTGTGCCTTGCTTCCTGTAGCATATGCCAGCTTGTCCGCGCCGCCCAGGAAGGCATCAAACTCATCACACTCCTTCTGCGTACTGGAATCCTGCCAGTTGGGACTATAGGGATGGGAGAAAGCCCCGCTCAATTGGTCCTCCAGAGACTTGCCAGAGTCCAATTCTTTGAGAAGACGCTCCGCATCCTCTGCCCAGTATACACTGCCATGCTGTTGTCCAGCACCACTGATGCCCTTCACCCGGGCGAAATCCAAACCTTGCTTCTTCAGACCCTCGAGGACGCCATCCAGGGCCTGCAACCACAATGCCACAGGGGCATAGACCTCATGCTCAGCTTCATTGGTAATGACACCCTTTTTAATGGGAAAGCCGCGGGAGTCCGCATCGAAATCGAATTTGGAGACGTAGACGACTTTCAAGTCGGAATTGACGACTAGAGCTTTGAGCTGTTGGGTAGAAAGGTCGAAACCGATGTACAATGGGCCTTGCATTGTGGCAGTGATTGTCAAGTTATCTTTTCTATGTCGCTATGGCGCAATGGAGGTATTTAATTCATTAACTTCAGTTCAAGTGTGTGTGAAAGTTTGTGAACGATAGACGGTGAATATGCGGTGGGAGATGACGTCGATCAGTAGTCACACCGATGGGAGACAAAGAATAGAGAGAGAAAAGTTGAATAATGACGGGGAGCAACGAGGATAAAGAAAGAGAGAACGATGTTAAATAGTAAGGGTCCCACTGGCAAGCATAAAAATTGGGTCATTGAATGGGATCAGTCTTTTCTTTCGTCCATCTTCTATCGTATCTCCTATTGCGAACATTCCAATTCAACCCGCAATTTATCCCCCCCTTCGCCTTCCCACTTCGGCCACTTCAGAACCCACTTTTGCAATACATTTTGAATTTTTCTCCATTACAATCGAAAAATACCCCAGAGAACCAATCAATTACCCACTGCGTACTCCGTACTTTTGATTCCTGCAATCTTTTTGGCTTGTTCTCCAACCATTGAACCGCAATTGCACATCGTGATGTCAAAAGTAAAATAAAATAAAATAAAAAAGTTTCATCTGCAACTAGTACAATTTTTTGTAAATCATTTTTATTTATAGACCCACTCACCACCACCGGGAATTTACCCAATTTACCCGTTGAACGGTGAAAGGGCTCTGTTAAATTCGATCTTCCACACTAGACAGGGGGACCCTTATGACCGGTTGCTTACTTTCTGCTCTAGAAGTTAATTAATATTCGTCACGATCGAACGTCTAGAACGGCTTTTTATCCTAGTTCACGTGGACGCCGGGATTGTACCTCGTGAACAATCCAAGAACAGTCGAGAGCTGCTTGGCTAATTTTTCTAAAACAATTAGCCAGTTTGATAAGGGATTTGGGAGATTGTTGTTGTTTGTTGTTCTTTATTTCAAAATTTTCATGGAAAATTTAACTTTCAACATATTGTTTTCAGCTCTTGTTGAGTTGATTGGCTTATCGCATATATCTTTGTAAAGTCGGTCTACAATGGAAACGTCACCGCAATATCCAGGTTGGGAACCTATTCTCTAGCTATATCAGATCTTGAAATAGAAGCGTATGACCTGTCGTACACGTAATATGTACTTCTGCTGTCCTTGCCACTGCAAATAAGACTGATGATGGGGTCAGCATGATAGGTCTAGAGTACGCCACAAGAGGGTGTATCTTGCGACTTCAGGAAGAACTTGTATGTAATACACAATCCAACAGTGATATAAGCATGAGATAAGTAGTAGTCATCACATTGGTCACATGGTGGTGTCTGAACATGCTTAAAACATCCGTCCAATGGGATTTGCTCCGCGTACACTTGATGCAAGTGGCGGGATATACGGAAGGATCGATGGGCGTTACTTCCACTGATTTGCCCCACGAGAATACCGAAAGCTACTTCGACTGTAATGTACAATTAACATCTCCGAGGAGATCTGAATGGTACACAAGAAGCCCGCAGTACATGCTGTAGATTCTATTCAGCCAGTATATGTACATACTGTACATGGTTTGCCAGCCATGGCTGACGTCCTCCTCTATCGACTTCTTTTCTTCCCTATATCCAATCGTTTCTTCACGCCTGCCAGCTAGACCCAACCTCTGTGTGATCTAATTTTCACCAGCCACAATCTCCACCAGCAGATAAACAGGACATGGAGATATCATCTCCAATGGTGTATTCATGGGGTATCACATGATCCTTCGAGGTCCGATGTGCAAAACGGGGCACGAACTATGCAAACACACAACAAGAGCTTCAATAGGCTCGATACAAAGCAAAATATGCAAAATAATACAAAGCAAAAATAGAGATGTCTCCTTAACGCCTCTTGCGAACATCATGTTCGTGCACATCATGCCCATGATCATGCCCGTGCGCTTCACAGTCCGTGTCACCATCCTCCGGTTCCGGGTTGGCTTGGGATGCAACTTCAGCAGGGATGAACTCTTCGGAGAAATTCAGTTCTTCATGCTCGAGGGGGATAAATCGCACTTTGACTCGCTTAACGCCGCGGACGCCCGCTCCGATGGCTGTCCTGACAGTTTCCTCAATCTCCCGAGATCGATTGATGGGCCATGCGCCCGGCACTGCCAATTCAATATCCATGAGATAGTTCTGGCCAGATTTCATGCCCTGAATATCGCGTATCTTGATCGCACTGTTATCCTGCAATTTCGCGAGCGCCTTGGAAGCAGTCTTCTGCACCGATTCCTTGATCTCATCGTCCACGGCAGTATCGGCCAGCTCCAGAAGTGACGAGCATGTATTTCCCCATCCGGCTTTGATGACCATCAACGAGATAAGGAGTCCACCCACAGGATCCAACCAGGAAGCGTCTTTAAACAAGTACGTGCCGCCAATGGTGAATAGAGCGACAATGCTGGTGAGGGAATCAATGCGATGGTGGATAGCATTCGAGGCTAAAACAGACGACTTGCGCTCATTGGCGACTTTCATGGCTTTTGCATTACACAATAACCGTTAGCTCTCGGGTAAGATTGAAGGGCAACCCGAAGGTACTCACTTGCGTGGTACAGCCATTCCTTTACCACAATGGACCCAGCGGCCAACCACGCGGCATGAATGCTGGGGCCAAGAACGTCGATTCCGTGACTATGCGAATGGCCGTGTCCCAAGTGAGAGATCGCCTCCGCCGCCTGGGGGTAGAACTGGTCTAACAGAACTTGACCGGAATTCAGGCCCATAAACACGCCTCCGCAGAGCAATAGCCCACTCACGCCCAACGCACCAATGCTCTCAATCTTTCCGTAGCCGTTTGGGAACCTTTCAGACGGGGGCTTGAGCGACCAGGCGACTGTCCCCAGCGTGAGGATGTCCGAGACGAGATCTGTAAGGGCGTGGTAGGCGTCGGCGATCAAAGCTTGCGAGTGGAAGACGTAACCTCCGATAAATTTGCCAATTGCCATTGCAAGATTGGCGACCAGGCCGATCCGCGTAATCCGAACGCCGGCGTCGTTCTTGTTTGTAGAAGTCAGGTACACATTGCCGCCGTGGTGGTGATGATGGTGATGGTGACCGCCGTGGCCACCATGGCTTCTGGTTTGCGTCGCCATCAGATGTAGGGGTGTGTTAATAGTAGACGTGGTGGTTAAGGAAGGGAGTGGGACGCGAGAAGCATTGACGGAGTTGAAAGGGATGAGGGATCTGGCGGAGTTCTTATGGCGCGAGGAAAACGAGGTTGCCGACGTGCGCAGAACACGCAGCTGAGGTCGAAAAGGTAGAACAAAGCCGGAACGCCCTACTCGAAACCTACCTATGGAACAACGGAGGTTGGATGGGGATCCGGGCGTTGGTGATGGATGGGCCCTCCACCGCAGGGGGTGCGTCAGCGGCATCAGGCCGGGTACGTAAGTCCAATTCAGTACTAATTGTTAATAGTGGCAGTTAAATAGTGTAGGTCAACAAAGACCGCCAAAGCCAGGACACTATATTTTTTGTAACCGTGGTGTGGCGTGCCCATAGTTTGGCCCGAGAAGAAGGAAATGAGAGAAATCGATCACTTTCTAACTATAATGACGTTCCTTCCATCCTGTCGTGTGCTTCAACGCCAACCATTGTAATCCGGTCCGGCAGATACAATCCCGATATGTGCTGACGACTCTCCGCCTCCGAACTGCGGCGTTCTGGACTCCACTGCCCTATGATGGGGGCTCCATTACTATTCCTTACGCCTGGCAATGGCTGACTCTTGTCATAAAAAACACTACCGCAAAAGCCAATAATTCCTCTCTAATTGTCATCTTCTAATTTCAGGGTCTAGTTAGGTACTCAAAGAAATTAAATTAAGATTAACAAATCATCTCCTCTCTCAGTCGCCAATGCCTCTCTGTCTCACATAATAGGCTGATTTCTTTCCGTTCTCGTGATCAATCTTATCAATCTATACACAGTAGAAACCGTTTCACTCCGTAAATCCGACATCCAGAAATAACTTTTCTCTCCTGTCAATGCTTCTGTCAAGAGTGCATGAAATAAGAAACAACCTAAAGCTAAACACACATACCCAAGCAAATCTTGGCTTCTACAATACCCAACGGCCATACAGTTCATTACGTGGACGGCTCCGTCCGCCAAGATATATAGCGACGCAACTACCCCATATACCAAGCTACCAATGTTTCGAAATGGAGATTTCTTGGCCCTTTATCTTGACATAGCGTACGTATACAAGATCATGTTGATCATTGCAGCTGAAGAGGAATTCTTTAGTTCCGCTTAGTCATTAAAAGTTAAAATTCAGAGACACATGGAGCCACAAAATTAGAACCATGGTCATAGGCACCGGGTGAGTCCTGTTTCAGAACGGCTCAACGGCCGAGAATAAATAGGACAGCTGAAAAGAAGGGCTTAGCAAAAAGTTTGCTTAAAAAGAAAGAAAGTTAAGTGGTGCTTCCCGGAATCGAACCGGGGCTGGCACGGCCACAACGTAACGTCCTACCACTAGACCAAAGCACCTTGTTTCTATATTTAGAACACAAACTTTTGACTACATAAGCCAGAGCCACAACTGATGCACCCTTTCGGCGAGATACATACAGCGCACGGAGTACAGCTCTGGTGTACTAGACGGAAAGATTTTGGGTAAACATGATAGGCTGAAACTTGTGGTTTCCTACTGTTACATTCGAGTCAATAAGAGTTCAGTGACTTAAATTATCGAGGGCTTATAGAATGTATGCAGCATACTCAACTTTGACCAGGGTCATACACTACAGGTATGTCAGGACAAGCCCAGCGCACTGTGGTGATTCTACCACCCCCACCGATCTATGGCCGCCTTGGCTCAATCTGCAGTTCAAGGGACAGATGTCTAATGCTAGAAACTGAAAGGTAAAGAAAAATCTATTGACACTATTAAACGCTTTAAATCATTGTACATCTGGCATACGGACCGCAATGTCGCCTGACTGCGTAATATAACGGACCCAGGGTAGGGAGGGGTATTGGAGCTGTGACATGACTATTAGTCGTGGACTCATCGTTGGTATATAAGACGAAGCATAGCACGCCAGAAGTAGAATGAAAAAACATACCTTAGGTTCAGTAATCTTCAAGTACCGTACTTGAATACCACTTGTAGTGAAGTAAGGAATTTCGAATTTGACGTTAATGGGCCGTTTGGCCTTGCCGCCTCCAGTGCCGCCCATGCTGCCTCCGAAACCTCCAGTCATACCACCTCCATGCTCATCATCTCCCTTGACGGATGGGAGACCCAGCTCAGCGCGCATCAGGAACTCCTTTCCACCACCGAACTGCTTGATTTTCCAGATAATAGCGGACTTTTCTGGCGCATAGTGAACCGTTCCAATGTTCGTTCGGAAGCGCGGTGAGTCTGCATCCTCTGGTACAGGCACAAGGATCTCCACATTATTGGCCGTGCTGCGGCGCTTGAACTGTGCTTTGGCCTACAGAGAATAGGAAGATTAGTTCATAGTCGACCCAAGTGTTCAATGCTGCCAGCTCACTTACCTTCAACATATACTCCATCCGAGAGCCTGAGTGCGACTCCACAAGACATTCGACCCAGATAAGGGGCTTCACTTGTGTGTTTAGACGATAGCTCATAAGCTCAAACTCTCCATCCGGGGGGATAAAACTGATCGTTCGATCATTCTCGAACCTCGAAAGTCGAACACATTGATGGAATTTGACGTCCTCCATCTCGACAGCCTTGCCTCTTGTGGCACGGCCCGTCGTCTCGAACATAACCTTGTCATTCAGACCCAAACGAAGTTCTGGCATACCACTTAGGTAACACTTCATCTTGATAGCACCCAGAATCTCAGATCGCAGGACGTTTCCAGACGCAGATACGAGGAGATTCAGAGATTCGACAACATCAAGGAATACTTCGTTCTTCCGGTAGCGAATGCCTTCACTTCGCCAGGAGACCGCATTGGTGACGGCAATAGGAGGACGTGCCTGAACTTCAAGCTTATGTGACTCTTGTGTGATGTACCTGATACCATATGAGCAACATTGCCTTTAGTTATGTTCTGCCACAGTTGTCGTCTTACTCTTGCAATATCTTGCTCTCCGTAGTTTGTGGGTATCCGAAATCCATCATCTCATCGAGCAACTCATAGATGATGACGAAATTGTCGCGAATACTCTCTTCCTCCAAGACTTTGAAGTACTCCGTGAAGACCTCCACAATTTTGTGGAGGAAGAGAAGGATTTCGGTCGCATTAGTGTTCTTCTTTGTCAACGCGAGGATGTAAAGGTTGCTGTGGCGGATATAGAGATACTAGATACCCCACGTTTTATCAGTAAGTTGAGGAGGAAAGGCTATTGGCTACCTGGTCCCAAGATGAGGTGTCGCAGTAGAGGCGGCAAGCTATAGGGGATGAAGAGAAGGAAAGCGGGCTGCGGGGACGGGCGGGGAGCAGGTGCGAAAACCAATGCGATTGCGGGCAAAACATACATTGATTCCTTCATGAGAGAAGCATGGCGGTACGGCGGAGCTTTCTTCTTCTGCGTCACTGAGGAGGATAGGAAATTTCTCAACTGCGGACATGGGAATGTCTCCGCGGTAGTTTCGGGCTAGAAGGGTCTATTTGACGGTGAGCGCAAGAATTCATGGTGGGTATAGCGGTCATTGAAAAGAGATACCGCCAAGCATCTACTTACCTTGCCCTTCAAATCTAAAAAGAAGATAGCCGACGCCATCGCGGAGGGTTGGAGATCGTGTGGGAGTCGTGAAAGTAAGGGTGAATGTCAATAGGGCAGCAAGGAATCGGCGGGAGGCTCCTGACTTAGTTCAACGGTAAGAGGCCAACGAAACACTAGCTGGACATTCTGCGATGGAATGGGTTACGTCGCAATCAGCATCAATCCAACAATGGATAACAGCATAATTTTCAAATTAAGTACTACCAGGGGAGAAACTCACAGGAAGAAATATGGAATTAAAGACTGGCCTGGCAGCGTCAGTGTGTAGGACGAGGCTCTCTATCTCCTTTACACATTCAGCTCATTTCCGTTCCACTATATTGAGTACTGCCACGCAATATACCACCCGCCGCCCCTCTGACCGCCTGCTTAATGCCTGCTACCAAGAAATAGTATAAGAACTTGCGATGAAGACGCCCACCATACAAACTGTATAGTTCGCTCTACAATAAGCTTGACCGGACTGGGACATTGATGATCATTCCAATTACTATGACGAGTCTGAGAAGTAGTAAATAAATGACATCGAGTTCCATCAAACATTATCTTGAGTCGTCCCATCAACAATCTTCTCGTTGTTCCATTAGTTAAAATCAGACCACCATTGCGTGAAAGAGTTGCTTGTACGGGGTACAATCGCGGCATATAGCCCATAAAGGGCTTTATGAACCCCATAGTCTATAAGAAAAGCCTTGAATCGAATACGGATCTTCCTATGATCTTCCCATCTGCGTCGGGCTGGTGCCTGTACGGCTCTTCCTGAAGCACGCGATAGGTTGGCCAATTCAATTGCTGGGCCATGTTCTGCTCAGCTATCTGGCTGAAGGCTCACAAAGATCGATCAGCCTCACTCAGGTCTTTGAGCTCACTCAGTATGCGCTTCTGTAAGCGCAATATGTTTACAGGTAGTCTCAGCAGACTCCGGCTGACTGTCGATCCTCAAGCCGAGATTTCTCCAGGTGTCTCATAGACAATAGAAAGCAGAGCAATCTTCTTTATTAAGACCTCCACGAAATTGTGAAATGTGTAGCAAGCAGAGTCTGCATAGCTCGGTGGTATATCATAAAGAAGAAAGCCAAGCCTATCCAGCTTTAGCGGGCTCAAGAGGGCTCAGCTGTATTCGCACCATTCCTGATCGGGCTAGTGTACTTTTCGCACTAGAGTATTTCTTCCGCAATTTCTTTCCCTCTTCTCACTTTTTTTTCTTCTTTTATCCCAACGCTCCCAATAGACAGTGCAAGGCAGTACAAATTACGTTCTGTGATTTCTGGGGTTATCGTACATTCTGTATGATGGTCCCAGTTTTTCATTGCTGACTTGCGATACAGCGGCGCGAAGACTATGCATCGTAAAGAGGGTTCCATAAGAGCTGGCCGCGTATTTTACTCTGTTACTCGGGCGGTGTCAGAGGAACCGGACATACCTATTATTAATAAACAATTCTATTCTCATAGTGTTTTGCGCGTTCTCTTAACACGTTCCACAAGAGAGGGCCCGTCAGAGGAGAGGATCCTTCCGGGTGGTATTCGAAAATCAATATAAGACATGGTCGTAGTAAAAGTACATATATGGTGGATGACCAGAACCCCCAACACATACAGAGAACATCCAAGATATAAAAAAAGACAAGAAAGCGAAAAGGAGATAACGCCTCGAAATGCTCCTGCGGCCATTTCCCAACAATGATATCCCGACTTAAGCCTTGAATCCCAAAGGTTCTAATATCCGCTCGCGTGTCACCTTGTTGGCAACGAGACCACCCTTCTCCAGGGAGATGGCACCGACAATCGCATACATCGTGTGGGCAAGAACAAGTTCGATTCCGGAGCTCGCAAGGTTGTTAGGCTGGGCATCGGTAATTGTTAGCAAGGTACAGTATAGCCATTTGCAGTGAAAGCAGTATGCTGCAAAACCATAGAAAAGAAGGATATCCCATTATCTTACCTTCCGAGGACTCCATCTCAGGACCTTCTGCAGCTCATACTTCTGCGCAACCTCCGCAATTTGTGCTTTGCCTACCAAGAAATTCTTGTTACGGGTGAGGTTCTCCAGGCCATCCAATGCCGGGTGCGTGAAGGGCACACGGTCAAACGCATCGGGGGTAGCAGTGGATGCCGCACTTCCGGGGCTCTGCACCATGGCCAGAGAAGCCTGTAACTCAACGATCCGTCGTCCTAAAGTGCAATTGCCGGTTAGCCCTGTGCATCTCGCGAATCGCAGAAGCGCATCCTCAGACTCCTACACACCTAAGAAAGCCAGACGGTCGTTGAATCCTCTTCGACCCTGATCGAAACTCTTGTGCGTCACGGCCAGCCATTTGGTTTCGTCCGAGAGGAGCTTGTCACCATCATTGCCTAGCATGCGGATGTAGAATTCGTCAAGGACCTTCGGATCGGCGTTGACAGGGTATTCACGTCTCTTGGTATTCAATCGCAGGCTGAAGGGGGCTTTTGCAAGGGGAGGGGTATAGGACCATCGAGGCTTGTCTGCATAATCGACCGGTGTCTGCTCGGTGGATGTCGACAGACCACGACGGAGGAGGGAGGCGGATCCAATCGTGCTAGGACAAACGATAGTACGGCATGCGGAACAGGCGATGGTCCTGGCCGCCCGAGTTGGTAGCATTGAAGCCATTGTGTGGGTCGAAGAGCTGAAATCCGCAGATGTGGGAGAAACGGAGGCAATTCACCTGTCCGGGCTTTTCACAGCGGCCGCGATGGAATTCGAATGATGGGTTGGAAAGATTTCGGAGATGCGGCGCTAGTCCCTTTTGGGATAGTGCAACCCGGCCGATGTATTCCGTCTATACAGTATAAACAATAGTAGAAAGAAAAGCAAATCCTATTCATTCCTTGAGGGAAGGCCTATTGAATTCTGTATCACAATAAGGGCCTAGACTTCCCCTTCAGTCGTCGGGCTGAGCCACCTCTGTTGATCTAGTACCAGAGGAAACTCCCCCCCCAACATCATATCAATCTTGGGAGATCACATCAGCCAGTAAACAATCCAATGGCAGGCCACGAAAGGCAACACGGACCATATTAGCCCTGTGTACAGGTCTACAATAGCAAAAGTATCATGTATATATATCATGATGAAGTATAAGGGATGATATAAGGAATTTCATTGCGACCCTATCAGATACCTACTACCAAATAACAAATGCCTTGCCCGAGCGGCATTTGAAACTGTGAAATCCAGCAACTTACGTGGAGTTCTAAGAGAGGTTATAGAAACTCCCTTTTTTAATCTTGTAAAAAAAAAAAAGTCAGTTGCAGCTTACACAAAATCAACGATGATATGTCTTTTTTACCACCCAGACTTACCTAGTGGCTTCACTCAAGCCGCATGGGCCGCTACTGACCGGTTTCACAAAATGCTCGAACAGTGATGCTAGCTTGTTGGCCACTTTCCGGTGGGTATTGTCCCTTTGTAAGACAAGGTATATTCAACGGTCCAGAATCAGAACAGTCAGCGTTCCAGCTTCACTTAAAGTCCCTAGCGACGCTTCTCTCCTTTCCGTGAAACCCGGCAGTAGCAGTAAGGAGGTGGATGGTCATCAGCAGCAGCTTAGCTATATCGCTTTCTCTATCAGATGTATGATCCTTTTGCTGTTGTGTAGAGCATTTTGTATTATAAATCTCCGTGTACACGTAATTGGCGGTAAGCATTGGGTGTGCTCTCCCGACCTAGCTCTATTAAGGTGACACCGAGTCAGGGGCCCATGGCTGGCGCCACTCTCGTTGACATAAGTCGACTGAACTGCCATACTTTCTAAGAAGTCCGAATTCATTCAAAGATGCCTAGAACATGTTCTAGTTCACTGGGTGAGCTGAACGAAAGCATTGAGGAAAATGGTGCATAACAGATAAAAAGAGTGCGAGATAGGCGAGCCTAAAACAATAACTTGTCGATGGATTCCTGCAACGAGAATATTTCTTGTGGAATCTGTCGTTCAGACCTTTAATTTACCGGGCGAGTGTGCCTTCTAACGACTTCCTGCTCCAGGTTAGGAACAATACTCCACGTTGATGCAGTACAGAGACAATATGCCGTGGACAGAGCGGAGTAGGCTTCGTCCTGGCTTGAAGGTATAACCTATCGAGGCCCCTTCGTCTGTGGACAGTTATTTAATATATCGAAGAAATACCGGTGTGGTAGCGCTTGCCGCGGGATATGTTCTCTTCCAGAGTTTTCTGCGAATATAGGAAGTAATAGGCACTCAAAGCCTGGGGTATGGGACATTATTGGAGAATTGCGTGTCTTTCCTATGTTTAGTGCGACGACGACAACCTGGAGATCGTCCACGTGTTGCATGCTGTGGGGTTCTTCCTATATTATGGGGCCTGTGTTGCGTGAGGGACTGTTTCCGTACCTGCTAGTAGGCTTCTTCGTTGTTTGCTTTCATAAACTGCATCCTCGGACATAGTCGCTAGGGGCGCCAGGCCTATTAAATTATTACATTGATTGGCAAGACCAGAAACCCCCTTTGCTCCTCGAAAATAATAATAACAAATAAACAAATAAATAAAGTCGATGGCGATGGGACACCGGTAGCGTTAGACAAAAGACTTGTTGCGTAATTACCGTTAGACATTTGATTCGAGAGAACTTAGGATCTAGAAGCCTAGGCGTTCGTTTTACATTCGGCGTCGCCAGTATCTTGCCTCTTCATTGTTTGCTTTAACCAAACAGTTTGGAAAGGTTGGCTGGAAATTCGATTATGCTGTATACATTTACTGTCAAACGCACCTGAGCTCATTGAGGGAATCGGTGTCGTGGTTGGTATCCATAGCCCTCATTGAGATTACCGATGTAATCAGAAAGGGTGCTTTTACCTTTTTGGACCTTCATATATCAGGTCTCGTAGCCAGCGCCTCCCGTTGGCTGCTCTGTAAGTAGATAATCCTCTGGTTGGCCAACGAGAACATGCATTTAACAACGCATCTATCGAAGTACGCCAAAGACCAGTCTCGCATCTTTCCTCAGGCAGCACCAACCAAGACTGGACAGGCAGCTTGGAGTAATCAAGGTAGCCGAAGAAACGGTCTGTTTCCAGACAATACAGTGCCGTAGAACCTGTTTGGCCTAGTTTTCCGTTACCAAGAACCAACCCGCAGCAAAGGCCGGAGGCCATCGGTGTTTTGTACACCGTCTAACGTCTTATACATTAGCCTTCCACCGGGCCCTTGCAGGAGCAGCCGACGAAAGATCTGAATCCATTTGCGAAGACCATTGTGAGAGTGTCGGAAGTGTCAGATCCACGCGGCCATTTCCCGTTGCTCGGACGTTTAAAGCAGGATGGCGGTGTACAGTTTGCTTAGAAGAAGCCGCCAGTCGGAAAATGACCTGAAGAGCTGGAGCTATTAAACGATGAGTGATAGCCGGGTATTGGGAGAAATTCTTTTACGGTTCAGGAAATGAACATCAAAGTATTCAGACACTTACTTCAATAGATCTCTTGTGAAAGGAGCGAAGACACTTTGGCCTCTCACACGACAGCGGGCTTCCTTATCTTCTCGTATCTCTTGGGCAACTTCGAGCCAGTTGATAAACAACCTGTGCTGATAATGTTGGCTACCTCATGTAACATGGCATATCGGGACACCGACACCATTTTCAGCTTCTCTTTGAGACATAAGCAGTCGAAACAGTGTCTCAGAAGTATTGTCGATATCACATTGAGTGATTTCTCCGTCCAAGATCCACCTTCACCACCACCGTATCCACCTAACCCGCCACCGAGTCCTGCATAATTTGGGATCTTTTTTTCTCGGACAAGAATATCATTCTTGGTATGAATTGACGCAGTGGGTGAGTTTCAAACGCTCCTTTCATGGGCGGGACGTGTCATGACTCGAAAGACAGCACGCACAAGACTGTCCATTGCATATCTAATATCAGCCCTGATGCTCATAGAAACGCTGACTATTGCGGTGTAGAATACCAAAGAGTTTCAGAAGGCACTTGTTCAATGATGATACCAGACGGGGTTTCATGGGAATGAATGTATATGCGTTCCGGCGGGGAAACGACTGGCAGGGTATGCCTCAAGATTGGAAAGAGACTTGCATTGAACAATGTACAGGGCTGTCTGGAAAGCGGGACTGGGAAGCATAATTTAGAAAACAAGCCTGAACATAACATATGTCAAACTTATAATTCACACAAGTCTTATCTACATCCATGTTAGATACATTGCGATAGAGCGGTAGAAATTCTTCAAAGAAAGCAAAACAGGGAAACGGCATCTTAAATCCAACATTGGTCCTCCTAAACTATTCCCTCTCTGTTTGCTGTTCACCTGTTCGTGCCTGCAATCTTTCGATGATCTACGTCCCCAAGCCCAGAATCAGGGGGGTCTGAAAAAAGAATAATCATGAAATTCAAAAATCAGCCTAGATTGACTGGTATAAGATATAATGCACAGAAAACAGTTTTAGTGAAACAAGATCAGCTTAATAGGTATGACACAAGAAAATCACAGGAAAGCGAGAGCAAGGGCACTGAGGACGCTCAGGCCCACCACAGTCCAACCAGACTTGATGACCTGCTGGTTGGTGATTCCCCTACCAAGATCCCAGACCAAGTGACGGACTCCGTTAAAGCAGTGGTAGGTGAAGGGAAGAGCCATAACACCCTTGAGAAGGACCTTGGCAACAATGGGAAGGGCAGCGAAAGCAGCGGCCACGGAGGCCGACTCCAGATGCCAGCCAAGCAACGGCGAGGCAAGGTATGCAGTCGCGTAAAGATACAGTGAGCCAGAAAGAGCGAATCCGGTAATACGGTGGAAACTACTGCCGATCCAAGTGATCTGAGGGCGGTAGATGGAAAGGTGAGGGGCAACGGGACGGTTCAGACGCTGCTGCGCAAGGATCTTGGTGGGGTCAGAGGTGTTCGAGGTAGTTGCAGCTTGTCTGGTTGTCTAAATTAGCATTTATATACCATTGATTGTCGTACATATGCCTCGTCATCCGAACGCCTGGTAAAATCGGATTTCCATGACGTAGCAACCCATGAAACCTCCACAGCAGAGGCTGTCGCAAAGCGACAGAGGTAAACCAAAGAAATACACTACTCACCTGGTCTGCATAAAGCGTCCCATAGCGACAGCAGCTGGGGTTGCGGAGTTCATCAAAGACCAGCGCATGGCATAGGGCTGCTGGACGGCAACTGTAACAAGTTAGTGATGCTCAATTTAAACATACAGTACCCAAAGGGGGCACATACGCCGCCGCAGCGATTGCTGAGCAACCTTCTGAGAAATCATGATGTGTTTTGAGGACCCGTTCAACGGTGCAGAGCTGATAATCCAGACAAGTAGCCGTCGTCGTCGTCCAGGAAGAAAGACGCCTCGAACTCCCGACTCTCGTAACGCTTCGGAATCACGGGACGGACAACCTCGGGCTAGGTTCCAGTCACGGGACTAGCGGCTGTTTTGAAGAATCGGCGAATCAGAAGAGCTGGATTACCACCCGGAAGATTCTTCTTCCATTCCACCTCCGCTTACCGATTCCGGGTTTTCTCTCATGTGTGTGCTTTTTTTTTTTTCTCTTTCTTCCTTTCTTCTTTTCTTCTCCCAAGGGTCTCAGCCCACGTTGTCTACCACAATTGTTTGGGATGATGTTGACGTGCTAAGCAAAGCCTCACTGGTTTCGGCATTCTGTCGCGACCGCCGAGGTTTATAAGATCCTGAGAAGGAGTTCTGTCCCGTCGTTAATCGCCCATTCTTCTCTTTCCATGAGATGGCTGGGTTTCATATCAGGGTTACAAATCATCATAAGTATATCAATGAGCAAGTCACTACAAAGTAGGCGTGTAGGACGGGCCTGTAGTTCCAGTAAAGTGCCAGGAAAGCACTACAAGAAACCTTCTACGCGAAGTTTGCTGTGTCAAACCTGGGTGAATTTGAGTGTACGTGCGGAGTATACTCCTTAGGGCGGCCATCACTGAGAATCCGTGGTGGCCAGTTCGAGACCCGTGAATACATCTCCGGTCTTAATACTCCGTTCTCTGTTATATACAACTCAGCCAGACAGCTTTACCTGCCAACACCGCAACGAGGCGCGCCTCAAAGGCTTTGATGCCTAGGGGCCCCTGTCTCTTGAAGCTAGGTAGAGGAATAGGCTCCACAATTGGCTAAATATATGCCGGGGAGAAAGTTATTCGAACTCGGGCCGATTAACGGCTTATTTACTACCCGAGTGACGTATTAGGCTAATTAGCAGAGAGGATGTGGAGGTGAAGAATGAGGGGAATTGGGGTTATCAAGCTTTCATTGTTCATTTGAGTGGGTGTATCATCCACTCATGCCATCTCTATCTCGTCTCTCATAATAATCATCTTATACAGTCCATCAAGCTCTCTACGCATCACCAGCATCGTCTTTCTGCCACAAATATCACTAGCATAGATCGAACTATAACATGGCTGCTCAAACAGGCTTGGATGTTCTCCGTACGAGAACTATTGTTGACTGTGATACCATGGACGAAGAAGGTACTTGCCCCACGTACTATCTAACGGTTACTGGGTGGCATGCAATCGGGCTTTGTATTGATAATCCTTTAGTTGCCAGAACCCTAGGTCCATTTCAAGACTGTACCTCCAATCAAGCTATCGCGTACGGAGAACTTTCCAAACCCGATCATAAGGAATTGATCACTTCCTCTGTTGTAAAGGCTAGGAATCTCTTATCTCGGTTCCCGGGCCTTTCCTTGGAGGAATTAGCTATAGAGATAGCGGTATGTTATCACATAATAGAATGGCGCCGATACTCGAGTAGGACTAACGAAGGATATAGATGGTGAAACTGGCCTTGAGAATTGCTCCTCATATCAGCGGCCATGTCCATATCCAGACAAACCCTTACTATTCTTACTCAGTCGAGAAGACTACTGTCAACGCTCTCAGTAAGTCATTATCTACTTTTACAACGATATCTTCTCTCTAGCAAATCGAAACTTACATTCTACCAGGAATTATTCAACTCTTCCAGTATTTACAACCAGGTTTCGAGCAGTCGCGTATCTGCATCAAAATCCCAAGTACATGGGAGGGTATGGTAGCCTGTAGGACCCTCGAACAAGCTGGGGTACGCACACTCGCCACCACTCTCTTTACCCTAACACAGGCGGTGCTTGCTGCGGAGGTTGGCTGCACATATGTAGCACCCTATGTCAATCAACTTAAAGTACACTTCGAGCCTGGGTGAGTCGGAAGCCTCAGAAGCTTTTCGTAAACAGGGCAAAAGAATATGTCACTGACGCTCTCGCTCAGCTTCACGGACCCAAACAAGCTGCTACCTCTCTGTGTCGCCATCCAGAAGTACTATAAATCGGTCAATGCTAAAACCCAGGTTCTTCCAGCCAGTTTAACTTCGACAGATGAGATATTTGCGATGGCCGGTGTAGATCATATCACCATCGCGCCGAATCTCTTGCAGCAGCTCTCGCAGCCAAATTCGGTGCCTCAGATCCAGTCTTTGTTCGACAGTGACGCTCCTGCATACCTCCCTTTGTCGTCAGTGTCGTACGTCAATGATGAATCGGCGTATCGTCTTGCCTTCACTAGAGACCTCCATGGGGCAAGCGAGGAAAAGCTGACTCAGGTAAGTGGATTGGGCTGTCGTTTTTCAACATCTTTTATTAACTCGCTGACATATACAGGCTGTCAATATATTCTGTGACATGCAAGACAAGCTGGTCCAGCTTATGAAATCTGTGGTGTAAGATGCACGTAAGGAGATGACTCAGCCAGGGGGAGCTTCAAAAGAACGATGGATAGTATGAGTTAATAGGAACTAGTTAATGAATACTTTGGTACAAACCACTCGCTCCTCAGTATTTGTTATTTCTATATTCTTTTGCAAATCTAAGGATTGTACCGGATATATAAGATGTTAGTGAGTAGTACATAAAATAGAATAAACAATTTAAATAATTACTATATTGTAGAGAAAATATATAGTTAGTTCTACACCCGGTTCTCTATACATTCCCTTAGTATACTAGGCGTAAAACGCAACAGTTTCTATTGGCTTGGTCTTACCCTCGATGCAGATCCCTAGCAAAATAGGCTCACAGTCAACAATTCAGTTTTATCCCACCCATGGTAGAGCAATGGATGATGTATTCACTGATTACCTCACTTGAAGGCCCGTGATCTACACGTGACATCCCGGATCATCGTTTCCCCTCATCATGCAACGATGAGGCTGGGGCTGGTCAAGTGCTCATCCAGCACTAGTAGACCAAAGTGCATATAACACCGCCTTAGCTCAAACGCCAGCGATTGATGCAACAAAGAACTCAACCGATGCCCGAAACCAATCCACCACGCCCCCGTCTTCCCCATTGAACTAAAAGAACCACTACCCGCACTCTGCGGGGTACAGTCAACCTCCGGAACAACCCCAACAACCAGCAACCATGGACGTCCGAAAGAAGAAGAGAAAGGTGCTCCTAATGGGGAAGAGCGGCTCGGGGAAGTCCTCCATGAGATCAATTATTTTCAGCAACTACGTCGCCAAAGATGTCCGTCGGCTAGGCGCTACAATTGACGTGGAACACAGCCATGTCAAGTTCATGGGGAACCTGACCCTGAACTTGTGGGACTGCGGAGGCCAAGACGCCTTCATGGAGACATATCTTGCCTCGCAACGGGGGAACATCTTTTCGGATGTCGCGGTCTTGATCTACGTCTTTGACATCGAGTCCCGCGAAGTAGAACGAGATCTTGACACATACCACGCCATTATCGGCGCCCTGAAAGAGTACAGCCCCAACGCCTATGTCTTCTGTCTCGTCCACAAGCTCGATCTCATTCAAGCCGAGCATCGCCAACGCATCTACGAAGAACGCTCCGCCCTCATCCGCAGCCGCTCGGACCATTTCTCCATCGACACCTTCGGCAGCAGTATCTGGGACCAATCGCTCTATAAAGCCTGGGCCGGCATCGTCCACCGTCTCATCCCCAATCTCACCGTCATCGAACGCTTCCTGCACGCCTTCGCCAAGCGTATCGATGCCGAAGAAGTCATCCTCTTCGAGCGCTCGACTTTTCTAACCGTCACTTCCGTCGCCTCGGAGATAGGCGACCTCAATCCCATCTATGATCGCCACGAGCGACTCTCCAATATAATGAAGGCGTTCAAGCATTGCGCGGCCCGGAATACCCATACCACGCCCGCCTCGGCCGGGTTCGTCGTCATGCATACGAAGACGCCCCAGTTCAATGTCTTTTTGGGCCGGTTCACCGATAACACATATATCTTCCTTGTCGTCCCGCCGGGTGAAGCAGCTTATAACTGCGCTGTACTGAATACAATGTTGGCCAGGGAGGGATTCTCAAAAGCAGCAGCGATGGGTCACGGGGATGGATTCCCGCTTCCTGCGCCAGAATCTCCGGACGGTGAATTAGCCAACAATTCTCATGCAAATGGTTAACTGTAGTATCACCCAACCAAAAGAAAAACAACAAAAAAAAGTAGCAAAAACAAGAGAAGAAAGACGACAGGGCAGGGGAAAGGAAGGCTAAAATTGTCAGTATATCGTCAAGCTCTTTACTGTGTTAGATACCCAAGCATGAACATGTCACATTATTCCTATTACCTTTACTACTGCTAGCTAAAGGTGGAAATTGAAATAGGAGTTTGATTAATAGGTCCCTGGTCTACGGTATATGCCCTTCTGTCCGAAAGAGGAAAGGAGACAGGGCGTGATGCTTAGCTATTTTACCTTTTCATTTTACCAGTGTCCTGGAAAACTAGCGCACTTGACATTAGTGCTGAGGCGTAAGGCTTTCAGATAAGGTTAAAGTATCAATGGCTAGCATGAGCCTCTAGCTCCGGCCTATAGTGAATTTCATTATACTACACTATCGTCTCTAGACCGACTATCCACCATTTCCAGAACATCGCCTACTAGGCGATTCCCTCTTCAAGATCCAAAAAGTCAGTTATGCTTGGATTGACGTGTTATAACAAGGCCACAGACTAAAGGGCCGTATCGCTTTCCTGAATATACAGAATGCGTGTAATATTAGATAGCGGATGGCGTCAGGTCACAGCTCGCAGGCAGTACGTAAATCTGTCGCCAGTCCCAAGGTCATCAGTACTTTTATGAGACATCCCCCCAAAAAGAAATGTACAAGAATGTATCACCATCCCAAAATAGTAGCTCTACAGCAGAAGATATAGCTCCTTTCGCAAAGATGCCGATGGAGTGAAGTGGAAAGAACGGGAGACATAAGCATCTGGTCATTAAAAAGTCGTAAGGACTTCCGCCACCCATCAACAGGTACAGCTGGCGGAGTCAGGTATCACGAATCGACAGGGTATGCTAAACATTAGAAAACAGTACCATCGGAGCGTATCATAATCGGTGGTTCCTTCGTGTTTGGCCTCGATACCTCGGCAATCTCACGGCCGCCCTATGAATCCATCAGCAAAGTGCAATAGAGCTGGAGAATAATAAATAAGACTTACCTTCCACGATCCAGCTTCGAGCATCTGTGCAAGGGTTAACTGGTCCTCTCCAACTAATCCTAGCTGAGAGTTGACCGCCACGAGCAGCTCGTCCAAAAACCCAACTGTGACGGCGCGCCATTCCACAACTACATCATCGTCCGTAGAGAAAAGAGGAACAACTTCCATGTTTGGTTGACCCTTGATCTGCGCGTTCTCTTTATATGCAGCAATGCCTCGTTGAGCATCAGCTTCCTTGAGAGTTAACAAGCCCATATCGATCAACAGGCCGCCATTGCGATACTCGGGAAGACCTGTTAGGAGCTCGCTGCCGGCAAAGTGAATCTTCATCAGTTTCGACATCGGAACCATGATGGAGTAGCACAACCACTGTGTGAGTTTATGGAATGGGACAATAGTCTCCCAAGGTTGCGCGGGAGGGGACGGAGGCAAGTCAGAGCACGGCCAAGCATCTCCGATCGACAAGCCGTCGATCTGTGTTCTGGAAGGCGGCCAGATTGGTGTCAGCCCGTCCATAAGGACGGACCAGAGCGTGGTAATAGGAATAATCGGGACTGACGAAGCTTGTGTCGAGGGATGTGAGAGAAGATAGTCTGAGGTAAATCTTTGTTAGCAGGTCATCAATAAAGCATGCCAGCCAGTTAATCACTTACCAAGCATATTTCCTGGCCTAGCATCCACCCCGAAGAAATCCTGATTGTTCAATGCCTCCGAGAGTCGAATCAAGAGTCCGGCACGACCTTCGATACCTGCCAATGGGTTGTTCTCCGAGTGTTGCATGCCCTTAGCCAGCAGTTCCACCGTGATCTTCTTCAAACCGGCGCCGTCCACCTGGCATGGCTCGGTGGGATCACTACTGAAAAGTCCGCTCTTAAACATCTCAAGTGTAGCAACAGCCAGCCCCTCGCTCCGCGAGAAGAATTTGCCAGACTCCTTCGATTTATAAGACCATCTAGTTCCAGCACCAGCGTCCAGAAGGACGGAAACGACAAAGAGGTCGATTAACCGTCGAGTTCGTTCTTGCGCATCGATTGTGCTAGGCCAGGACTGCAGCAGCTGATTGATGCGGGGTCGGCCACCCACATCGAAGTGCTGCCAGCGACCATGGGGAGGAATCGAATCATAGTCCGGCGCATAATCTCTCTTCACGTGCAAAATAAAACAGTTAGTCAAACCGAGAACATCACATTATGGTGAGAGAGGGGGGTTTTATGTATAGTAAGTTCGCTCGCTCACCTTGATGATGGATACAATGTAGGACGCGGTGGCTTCGAACTTGCTCATATCAACATCGAAATGGTTAAGCTTGTTTCTTTTCGCCTTCCCAAAGACGAATCTAGAACGCTCTCGAACGGCATGTATGCTTCGCAGGTAGGCTGCAGGGTCTAAGGCAGGGTCGGGCGGTTTGGCAATCGAAATTTCCGGGATGGAAGCTGGCAAGCCACTGCCACTTCCCTTAAAACCGGGAGATTTCAATGAGGCATTCGATGTACGAGCGCTGTTCGCCGATACAAATGATTCTTGTTCGTCCCTCTCGGTCTGGATCGAGTTTTTGGAGTCCTTGCGCTTGAAAAGACCCATGATGAAATGGGGATCTCGTGTGAATTGGGGGGGAGGACGCAGGGAGGGTCCGGATATTGGCGAGGAGAGAGAAAGGAAGAATGACACTGGACAAGGGTGGTTGCGAGAGAGATTGAGAGGGGAAGCGAACAGGAGTTACACCAGTAGGTGATTCACGACTACTGGAACCGGGAGAGAACCGGACAAAGAAGGTCACCCAGAAGGGGAAAACGCATAAACAGAGGAATGATGATCTGCGACGGCTTCGGGAAGGTTGGAAAGAAGAGAAGAACTGCCGATTTGAACTTGTGTTGAGCTCGTCTATTTTTTTTTTTTTGGTTGTTGGAATTTTTTTTTTCTCTTTTTTTCTTTTTTGAATTTGGAGTAATTTTCCCACGGGTATAAAAAAAGGCCAAATAGGACCGAATAACAAGCACAATTATAAAATACGGGGCGGGTCGGCTGGCGAGATGAGTTAGGAAAGGTTAGAGCAATAGGGACCCAAATTTCCAGGACATTATTGGAGCGAAAAGGAGGCTGTCCAGGGCGTACTATGTATAACTTTCAGTCTAGTCGAGCCTCGGAGTCGGAAGGTGGGGAGCTTTGGAGAGCGCTTCCAGTCTGGCAGATGGTCGCACTAGCACGGCCGATTTAGCGTTGATATGTATAAGACTATTGTACTTGTTACCATGGTCGGTCTTTAATCTAATTAATTAGTTGGAGGTTTAGTGAGGAAGTTTAGGGGCAGAAATCAATAATCGTCAAGAAAATTTCCCTTTTGCCCCGCAGGCCCGCAGGGCCGAAGTTCTTATTACTATTTACCTAAATTGACTACGGAGTCACATCCCTCCCTGTACCGTCACGGTGTTCTGTTGCTTCGCTACCCACGGCATACTGAATCTAGTAAGAGCTCCTTTTAGACCTGAGTATGGAATTTTAGCCTGATTCCTCAAGCGTTAAGACCTTCACGCCAGTAGGACGGAGTATGCATAAGATATATGTAAGTACAGTACTATGAAGAAACGGAGCCTGATCGGTGTAATAGACCTATATGGGTAATATCTTAAGCATGTATTGGTAGTATGGTAAGAAAAAGAAAATTACCAATCTCACAATACATTCAATACATTGAATACATTCATTTACGTTGCATTGGGTACCAATGATTGGCTGTTGTTTATATTTTGCTGGGTCTTACTATTACTGTTACTATTATTGATGAAATTTTATTATTAATATGGAGTTCCCCTCCCGGAGCCGAGATCGATGTCCCAAAGAAATGGAAATTTCAAAATACATACTTAGAAAAAATGAGGAGAGAGTGTGGGAAAGAAAAAGGAGGGCCCCTCATACTTAGAAGGGGAGCACGGACAGTGTACCAAACTCGCGCACAGAGCCATTTCGGGTCCTTCGCCATTCCCAAGCATGCGGATCTAGATTCCTCGCTGGGCCATGTCCGCACCGTCATTTATATTAAAAAACCACATATTTGTCGGGAGGAGAGCAATGATTCCACCTCCCCCTCTTCGATTCCCAAACGGCTGTGGATCAGCTAATACTATCTACGATCACCTAATCTCGGACTGGTTCTCGAGTCAAAAGAACCATTCCCCTCATTTGGGCCCCCCTGTCCATTTTACGATAGGTTATCGTCTGCAAGGCACAAGGAACTACCCGTACACACGTACTCTCTCCATTGGCCCCTGCTTTTCAGATAGATGTTGTCTGTAATAATACGACCTGTATGGTATGTCCGATATTACTATACTTACGGGTCACGGCGCTCTTTCACATGACAATGAACAAACCTAACAAAAGCTATTATGATCAGACAATGAGAACAAGTCCACCACTTCTAAAGAACTTAATCAAGTACCGATACCTGGATCTACCATGATCAAGATGTCTCTGGTATTGTACTACACATCCCCACGTGGGACCAGGTATTGATTTGGTACCTTCTTATTTGAGTCCTTGGCACTAAGCCCCCTGCTACAACTGTACTGCGTAGAGATAACGTACTCTTAGTCATCTTTTCTCCATGGATGCCCTAACTAACAAAAATTTTAAAAAGTTAGATGCCAACTAGTTGGTAACCTGGGTTCTCAGACGAAGCATCCACCACAGCCTAAGGAAAATACTGTATCGCTCAGTAGCCCCACCGTAAGCGAGTATTGTATGATTGCTTCCCATACTAAGTAGATATTATTGGAAGTTGTTGCCTTGTCAGAAACTCGACTCCATACAATATGCATCAATCTCCCGGACAAGCATATGTGGGGATTTACACCAATGTTGGTCTGTGACTCAGTGTCTCCAGTCGCCACCCCATTGTTACATGATATCTGTTACAGAGTACACCTGGTCATGAAGCTCTGGGACGGTGGGACCTAGGTTAGCACGGAGTAGATACTCCGTATACCATTATCTTACCCCTCATTTAGGGTTATTAGCATATCATATTGGATGTCAACCACACCAGTGCAACGCTAATGCGATGACATGGCCCCCCGGCCATACTGCCGGGTTTTACGGTTTAACTTTCTTTAGCCCCCCAGGGCACAAGCACGGATTGGCAGGCATCAGGACACGTCGGGAGTTACCTTGGGTCCTCAACTCTCCTGTAACTTACTTTCCGCGCTCACGGCTCAGTTTCCCCGAAACACCGCCGTCAGCATTAGTACATATTAGCGGGGAGCCCGAAGGTATCCTCGGTTTGATCTAGATAGTCCCGGATACTACCCTGCTACTGATATACATATCACAGTACTTGCCATTCTTACATGCAGGAGTAGTATATTCTATACCGGGTACTAGTGGCGTGATTGTCTACTCGAAGGGGGAGGGGGGCGAAAAGTGCCCCCTCCAACATGTTAAAAGCAATATGCGAACTGCTAAGTGCGAGTGGTCATACTTGCATCGAAGGATTTCGGATGCATCAACTCTATGGATGAATCTTGACAGGTGCAGATAAAGTATATGCATGACCTCAGAATAACATAACCTGCCTTTTCCAATTGAGGATATCGGTGGTATTAGTATTGACAGGGTTCCAGGGATGCCAAAAACCCAAAACGAAAATATCGAAGAAATCTCGGAGAATAGTTCCCGGACACACGACCCTTTCTAGCTTCTCGATGCATGCCACGGATTGAGTGCGGAGTGAACCGAAAACAAGCGTACTCCGTGATATTTCCAGGCTGTATTGACCCAGCCAGCAAATTACCTGGTGATCCCTGGCAACCAACCGTTAGTGATCACATGACATGAACATGACCTCCTGGTTCTGATTGGTCGGGTTGGTCTTTATAACAGCCGTGACAGGAGAGCATTCCAAATACCTTGGCGGGCTGTCACTTAATCTATCTGTAACCCATTCTTACTCTGTATACCGTGTAATTTACATCCTCTTTATTGGTCGGGTTTGAGTTAAGTAGAGGATCCGTATTAGATACCAAGCATGTTCACAGTGCGGCGCGTATGGTTCCGTACCTTGCTTAACATCCCTGACCTCGCTGTTTCCTTTCTCATTCTTAAGCCTTAGAATTTTCCATGTCTTTCTTACCACCGCCCGGTTTGTCAAGTGGCTTCAAGGACTAATAATTACTTCAGCTGGATGCTTCCCCTTCTCTTGAATTTCCCGGCAGATGTGTTCTCTTTCTAGCCAGCTAGCCCTTCCAGGCTGATCCCGAAATAAAGACAATGGTAGAGTGGACAACCCCGGGGGGGCTGTCATACTTCTCCTCACCCATATTCTCTTGAATTGGACAAGGAGCTACGAGTGTCGTTATGATTGTGTCTCATGCTGGCGCTCTAATCAGGACGGGGGTCAACAGGAGAGGAAAGCAACTCCAGATCGGGTTTCGAGACCTCATCTTGCCCTGCGATTCCAGACACGCTAATCGTGATGTGGAGTCACGTACCATGCATGCCAATATATAATGTCGAAGTGGCGTGAGTTGTGTCTATTTGGCCTATTTGCGCACGAGCCTTTTTAGACCAAACTTGCATGCTGTGCAGCCTGTTGCTTATGGAGGTAATGCTGATGTCTTTTATACGAAGGCTCAAGATACGCGAATAAAATTAAGATTGGCTCAATGAGCGAGCTTGTCTTGTGCTATACGAACGAAGATCTAGAGGCTGGAGTCCTCTGATGATTCAAGATCTCTGGCAGCATCTCGAGATTGGCAACGTCATCCCTGTTAAGTCGCCCTTGCTAACGAGAACTTCAAGAATATCCACGATGGTTGTTTTATATTGAGTGCTTCAAGAATATTATATACCAAAGGGGCTCCCTTTAAGTTGATGAGATCCTCAGCTTCTAGCAAACTCACTAATGGTGTAGAGCTCCACCAAGAGCCGATGGTATATAGGTTGTTTCTCGAATCCCACCGGTTGGGTTATGGATAGCGTTGAATGCCAGAAAGCAGTTTTGGCATATTATTTAGCTAATAGCATATAATAATGTACACTACAATGAGAGATTATTGATGGTCTGTGGTACCATCATTGTACTTTGTTAGGTAGTGATTATCCCTAGTCTTATAATTCCACGATCATATTCCTCGTCAGGAGTGAGTTCATCCAAGGATGGAGAGTCAAATAACAGTCCAGCCTTTGAGTTTCTAACACAATGAACTTGGGCTAGCAATGTGAGTTACACAGGATACAAAGGGAAGAAATAAGCGGTTGATGCACATCAAGGTTACTCAACACCTAGCTTATACCTTTACCAACGTTCAGCTTTCATTAACCACTGCTTGAAGATACTCAATGATTATGTTTCTTGAAGCAGCTTGCATGTCCATATCACATATATCTTAGGCTAATAAAGCACTGCATTATAAATACTGCATGGACAACTTTTCAAGCCACAACCAACCATTCGAGCCGTTTGAGCAAAATGCCTGATTACCTGTATGATTCTCGAGATATTGCCAGTTAATTTGCGGCCCTAACGGCGTAAGACATTTCACTGTACGTAACTTTTTCGCTAAAGCTCAAAATACCGCAACTCCCTACTGTCTCTTGATGGAGAGCGGCACGACCTTTGCTTCTGCATCTAACCTCTCTCGCAAATTCGCAATTATCGCAGCGACGCCTCCACTAGACTGCCCGAGCCCCCCAGGAAGCAACTAAAAGTGGGGTACGGCAAGGCAACTAGTCCACCAGCTGCTACGTAGCTCTAGTACTCTACAGTACAGAGTAGGCGTGATCATGAGTGGAGGAGATCCTTCGACGCAATTCGGATATAACAAAGGGCTATCTTTATCTCTAGTACTACTACATGCTCCACTCCTAGCCCCTCCATATGCAACGCCTTCGTGTCCCTAAACATATTCGGAGTGGCGAAAGCTATCAATGAGAAAACAGCTAGTCTGTCCGTTTGGTAAAAGGTTGTTGACAAAGTAGATGCCCGACGGGCCCAGAAGTTGCTGTATTTGGCAACACGTGCCACTTAGTCACGTTTGAACGACATCAGCCACACCCCACTAGCTGCTCAGCCACAATGACGGCCGCGGCCCTCGATCTCCAGGGGAAGTCAACACTTGTCTCAGA